AAGACATTTTGTCCCGTAACGCTCGCCGTACTGTTGGGGGGGAGAAGCGGTGGGGGGGAGTCTGCAGTCTGACCGCTAGATGTCGCTAAAAGTTACACACTGTAGCTTTAACGTAGGGGGTATGTAAACTCTAAAGCACAGCTGTACACGTTTCACTAGAACAGCATGTTCTTCTATCTTTCTCATTTTGTAGAGTTGCTTAAAGTTATGGGGCTCTGTATCAAATATTAGAGAAACACTGACCACCTTAAAATAAAAAATAAAACATGAATCAAAAGACTCAATTTATCATCACGCTTTTCCCTCATTTTGTTGAAGAGGTCTCAGTAGTCATGAAGGATCCCAAATATCCTCGAATGCATAATTTATTTTGGCAGAGCTTTGTTTTTCTTTCCTTCCCACCTCTGTGAAGTGACCCTGTCAGTTCTGCTATCCTTCCTCCCTGTGTGTTTACACCTCACATATTGTCAAAAGGCTCCTGGCCCTGCAGGGTGTGTTTGTCCAGAGGGTTATTGTTCCAACATTCATTTCCCTTTTGACCTTTCCTAATTACTGAGTAGGTAAAGCAGCCAGACATTTTAAACCAGATCATTTTCCTTCCCTCTGTTGCACTGAGAGGTCCAACCTTGCCTCTTGGGTTAACAAACAACAGAATAACAATAAAGATTTCTGCAGTGAATGTTTATTTTTTATTTTTGTTGGATGGATGAATCATAGTACATGTTTGAAATTTATTTAAACTGATTGGTACATTTGCATAAGGTGGGACACCAAGAAGCCACATCTTTATGGTTGCAGGTTCACTGCTGCTTCAGCTCTGGACAGTTGCTATACTGGTCATTTGGCTGGAAAAAAAACAACAACAAAAGAATTAATGAAAAATGCAAAGAAGGGAGCAAAAGGATTTCTGACCTGCAGCTAATTGACTGGGTCAATCACATTATCCCACATTTAGCCTATGCCTGTAACAATCTATGAAGACAGAGTTTCCCTACCTCTTCAGGAAAGTACAACAAATGCTAATTCTGCTCACACCTACATACCTATGAGAATTAGGTTTTTCTCTGTTAACATGGATCAGAAGCAAGTAGCAGTAAAGCATGCAGGTAAAGAATGATATATGTCTATTAGTGACAACCGACCACATCAGGGGCCTGTACATCTCAAAGAGGCAGATTTATTAAGCAGCTCCGAGCAGCACCTTTAGTGCTCCTTTAGGCCTTTCCTCCCTTCTGCTGTCAGAATCAACAATACTACTGTGTCGTAACCTTATCTAATAACTACTGTGAAATAACCCTGTACAATAAGAGCCTATATATTTTTTTTTTTTTGCCTGGTTACACACCAAAAATGCTTATTAAGACAAAATATTTGCAGCTACACACAAAAAAAAAAAAAAAAAAAAAACTGTCTCTGTGAAGTGAAAATTAGTATGGTAACTGGAAAATGGGAGTTTCTGGAAGTAACCAAATTTGAAAATCATAATAAATTCCCAAAGTCAAAAGCTTAAAATTATAATCTGCTTTACAGTTTCCATATTAGTGACAGAATAATATTTAGGAAAGCTCTGATTTGTTTAAGTTCAGTGCAAATAATGAAAGGACTTAAAGAAATAAAACAACTTTTAACTTTTTGAACTTTTGATGGGTTAACCATTCTTTTTGTTTTACATCATTCTTATTTGTTTTGTTACAGGATTCCTATCATTAGTATTTCCTCAAACATTTATAGGTATTTGGCAACATAATGACGTTAGAAATTATTTCCATCTTTCTGTTTTTTTCAACTAAGCCAAAATGAAATATACTCAAATGCAACATCCTTGGCGTTATATGCTTTTCCACTTACTGCAGAGCTTGTTGTCACAGGCGCCGGAACAGTCACCGCAAGAGGGTCCTGACTTGTAGGGATTAGTATACTGATAGTTTCCTCTGCAATGCAGGCCAAAGCATCAAATATTAAACACAGCAGAAGAATCTAACTCTTGGTATCATCTCCGCCTCCCTTAACCTGAGTGTGTGTCCATTTTATCATTCAAGTAAAACAATTTGTATTTCATTTAAGAAAGACAATTAGAGAGTAGGATCCAATTTAAAAAAGAGAGAAATCTGTATTAAAGTGCTTACGGTGGGCAGTAGTGGCAAACGTAGAAGTACTTGTATTTGGAGTTGGGGCAGTAGGCCATAGCACAGCCTACCTGGTTGGACTTAGCCCAAACAACCTGTCCACCAAGAAGAAATGAAAAGCTGTTTAGCACTACCTTTTTAAAGCCGACAGTTATCAGGTTGTGTTTGAAGACAACTTTACCTGTGTATAGTGTCCCACCACGCCTCCATTAGTGGATCCGACACCATAACGATAGTCCTTCACCTCATTGTACCAGGTCTGGATGGCGTTAGACCAGGTGTTTTTGGAGCTGGACATGTAGAGATTCTCCCCACAACCGCTGGCTGCAAAACAAAATTTCTACTCAACCAATAACAACCTTTTTAAAATGCATTCTAATAAGCAAAATTGTTGTTCCCTTCTCCAATGTACTTTTATAATCTATTTGTGCTTTTTTCCCTTGATTTCAAAAGGCTGAAATATGACATGGGTTTGATCTGGTGTAATACTTTTCTGTAAAATATGAGTCCTTTTCAGGATTTTAGGCTTATAAAACTACTACTCTCTGACTTAAATGTCTCAGCCACATTGTTTAATGACAGTACATTAAGATTTTATAATTATACAATAAGGTTACATCTCTTTTTGACAAAGGAAAAACAATAGCATTACATAGGGAAATATGATTCAAAAAACTGATTCTTCTGTAAATATAGATATAAAAAAAACTAACATTTTTTATTTTCATTCACCGGTATTAACTCTAAAGCCTTAAGTTGCTTGTATTTTTTATATGTATTAAAGGAAACAAGGTCTCATTTGACAAGTTAAAGAGGGATTATGGAGTTTTGTAACACTGCAACACTTTTCTGCTCTTTCTTGTACGTCACGCTGGTCTTGGCAAATGTTTTTTTTTTTTGTACCTTTTTCACCTCTGCTATTGGTGTCTGTGTCATGATTTTGGCACTGATGGCTGACTTTATTGCTCATTTCATTCAAGTGTCTAGCTCTGTCTTGTTTCTCATCACTGCTCATCTGATCCATCTGATCCTGCTTCTATTTAATTTCCTCGGTCCCAGCCATCAGTGCCACATTATTCTTCAGCCTTTGGTGTAGAGAGTTTTCCAGCATTGCTATAGTGCCTGATCCTGATCTGTTTCTGTATTTTGACCTTTGAGCCTGCCTACCCCTGTCTGATCTGTTTGCCTGGCCTGTCTTCTGTGAATGGAACCTGGATCTGCCTCTTGACTTGGATTATCCTGCCTTCCTTCATCAGGATGGATCTGATCTCCTGTCAACTCTGCAGCCTTACAGCATCTGGAACTCTCTGGTAGAGTCCACTGCATCTTGTCAGCTGAACGGCTTGAATAATCTTCGTTCTCTGGGCACGACCTCAACTGTCAAACCAGGTTAGTGACTCACAAATTCATAATCATCCTCCGTCAGATTATCATAGTTACTGACCTGTGTTTCTCAGCGATAGATGTTCCTGTCTCAGACGCTGCCACCGCAGATCCATTCCGTCATTGTATGAATAAATATCTTAAGTATTCCACTGTCTGTCTTGCCTGAATTCTGGGTCTGGGTTGAGCTAAACGGTTGCTTCTGAGTATCCACAAAATCTATCTTGAATATAACACTTCAGTTGTTTGCTAAGTCGGACCCATTTAACATGGACGCGTTTTACAATACATCCGCCAAACAGTGCGGGAACCTCTGAGTCGTAGTAAATTGAGAAAAATAGGTGATCTATTGAGGTGTCAGTCTGATAATAAAACAATGTTTTAGTAGTAAAGGGTCAAATGAAAAGGCTCTATTAAAAATATTTTTCAGTAAAAACATACATTTATTCTCTTTAAGGCTTTAAATATCCTCAACAAATACACATTTTCTATTCATTTCATATATCTGAAAGTCTTGGATGTAAAAAAAAAAAAAGAAAAAAAAAAAGAAGAATGATCTTACTGCTAATCTCTCTGGAGCTTGAAGAACTGTGTTGCATGGAGCAGGTAGCTGCCCATGCCTGAGCATTGGCTGCAGCCTCTTTGTTCCAGCTCTGTATGGAGGAGAGGAAAGTGAACGGCAAAGAATATTTTATTAAAACTGTAATAAAAGCAAAGCTGGCATGGATAACCAGTTCTACAACTGTTGTTGATTCTCACATTAATGACATAATAATCAGGTTATCTGTTTTGCAGTTCAAACTGTAAATTTAATGTATTTGCAAATAAATGCACTCATTGGTATTTATTTTGATTATTAATACTAAACACATAAAACTGATGATGATGATATGTGTCAAGCAATGCTCATATAATATTTTTTTGTTAACATTATCTATAAAATTGTAAATGGGATGTTTATATGACATCTGATGCTTGGGTTTCCCCTTGTGATACATCCCTGGGTAACTGCCACATGTGAACATAGAAATCCTCACCAGTGATTATAGAAATGTTCATTATTTTAGAAATTTCAGAGGGTTAACTCAGTAGTGTGAATTTGCCTTTTTTCTGTGTGGGAAAATGAGTAAAAACAATGCATTAAACACTGTGAGCTGACAGTAATATCTGAAGAATTCAACACTTGAAAACAATAATTTTCTTTACTCTTTCAAATTTTCCTACCATTTTCATCATGTTGCTGGCAGTAGGATTGACCCCCCTCCTCAGCGTGTTATGCTTGTTTACGATCTCGGTCTGCTCTGCTGAAGTCGCCCGAATGGCACCTAAAACATGCACACACAAAAAACCCCCCAAAACTAAACAACACTGTAATATTTCAAAGAATACCACCTCAATAATAGAAGTAATACTCACCCGCTTTCTAGGAATCAGTTTTTTTTACAGGCAAGAGAAAAAAATAACCAATTATTCTTTTGAGGGTTAATGAAGAAGTTGCTAATAGAATATGAATACCCTAATTCCCTTACCTCAGAGGGCTGATCATCTGCCAAGGTGCCAGACACCTGAAGGGCAGCAGCAAGGCCGAGGATGCAGAGAACGTAAAGACGACACATGGTGTCGGTTAATTCTAAGACAAAGCTGGGGACCTGCAGGTGGGACATTTATAGGTGCAAATTCAAGACCATTCCAGTTTTTAAGACAACAACCAAAGATTAGATAACACCACACCTGTGAAATACCCGTGGTGATAACGAGGTGGACTTTGATATTGAGGAGTAACAAAAAAAATGTATGACATTCAAACACAACACTAATAACCTCCTTGGGTTTATTTCTATCCTTAAACATTCTGGAGTTAATCAGTAGTCAATGTCTAAGAGGCAGGGTGCACCCTAGAATGTTAGCATAGGTCAAAATACTGTTTAAAGTTCTTGGATTTGCTCCTAGACAAATTTTGAAGCAGATATTTTTAGTCCGAATTTATATTTCATAAACTGTCTTGAACTTCAGATGCTTTTTTGTCCATATTGGCAGAAAACTGCACAGTTTATGCTAAACCAAGGTCACAAATTAAGATGCATTAGAGAAACAGGGAAGAAAAACCTGCAAAGATCTAAATAGCATTTAAAAGAATTGAAGGAATTTCTACCCATTACTGGTGACAACAATTTCTATTTTTTTAACATCAGGATGAGAAGTAGGGTTGTAAGATAGAAGCTTTGCCACAGACCTGGCTCAAATCACCCAATACGGTCTCAGAGATTGTGTCCTGGTCTGAAATAATCCAATCAGAACTGTTAAGCCACAATTTCCTGGAGATATATGACTTCGACAAACTTTATTGTCATTTTGTATACACCGAATTATACAAAACGAAATTTCGTTGTGTACAGCTCTCAAGACATTTCCATTTCTTAAAGTGCAGCAGTGACCAAATGTAAACATAAGACTTTGATATGCTTTACATTTTTTTTTTCTTCCAAAATTCATCGTTTTTTTGTTGTTGTTTTTTTCAACATTCAGCAATCTGATGGCAGTGGAATCTGCAGTTTTGGAATCTGCTGGACCTGCAGCTGTCATACTCCTAGGCCTGGGTGCAGGCCGATTTTCCTTTTTTTCCTCTCTGCAGGGCTGGACGGGCAGGTTTTCTTCATCAAGCTGATTCCCACCTTTCTTAAGGAGCTGGAACCAGGAGGAGGGCGTCAGTTCGTTAATGCTCCAGCGTGGTACAACTGATCCTTTACCAAGCCTTGCTTCACAGCCTAGCCAAAACATAACCCTGTACTCTCCTGCTCCTTCTCTTAGAACCCAGGATCCCAAGCCTGAAACCACTCCAGAGACCTCTTCGCTCTCTGGACACCTGTCAGAGACTTATCAGACAGCCTCAAGGAACCAGAGAGGCTACGGACCTCTAAACTATTAAAGCCCTCCTGCCTGAGCTCGCCTGCCTGTCCACCTTCAGACACTACCATCAGATCTCACCCACCGGACCTGCACCATTCGCCTGGACCACTGGTCACCATCCTCCCAAGACAGACCCCAAGCCGCGCTCTCTGTGAGTCTCATACATCCCTCCCTTTTTAACCAGCACCGAACTGTTGCTCACCTGTCTCCCAACTCTTCCAGCAGTATCCAGAAAACCCTGCCTGCTGGAATTCACTCGGTACAGCCTCAAACCTTCAATAAAACCCTTTAACTGATTCTTGCCTCCGTGATTGCTCTTATTCAGAGACTGAAAAGCTAAACATGACAGCATCGGATGCTTGGAAGCCTCTTCCCAAAGGGTAGCAAGGAGAGCAGGGATGTGAGGGATCATTTATAATGTTACAGGCTCGGGACATGCAGCGCTGGGATCAGGGGGCAGATTTACCATTAGGCAATACTAGGAAGTTGCCTAGAGCCCCCAGTTCCTGGGAGCCCGATAAAACTCTGTTTACATGTATGGTTAATACAACTATTTTTTATTTGTGCACATTAATTATGCCAAAAGTGGAGAAGTCTTTGCATTTGGAAAATTTTATGTAAAGCATCCCAACGCTGGATTCTGCACTTAACATATCCCCCAGTCAGGCTTAGTTTCCTTTTAGAAACAAAAACTTAAGCTTTGATATCATCTGGTTTGAGTACCTTCTTCCAAGTTTCCTTTTTCTCTGTTGATCCTTTTGTAAAAATGTGAGACTTGTTATGAATAGTTTCCTATTGACAAAGTATCCCACTTAAACTGTTCATCACTGTAGCTGGGGTCTTGTATGTTTTTTTTATTTTTATTTTTTGTGTTTTTTTATAAGTAATGAATAAATAATTGAACTTTATTGATCTGTCATTGTATAAATTTACCTCTGCATTTAACCCAACCCCTTGGGGAGCAGTGAGCTGCCATCATGGTGTCCCGCAGACCCAGAGTGGCAGTCTGTGGGCGTGGGGCTTGAACTCAGAACCTCAGGATGCCAAGCTCTATGCCCTAACCGCTCACCATAAATGTTCTTTACAGTTCAGCAGCTTTGTTGTTGCCCCATACTCCATATTTGCAATTAAGTTGTCGTGATACTCCCTTCTTTTTTTCTAATCTTTTGTAAAAAAAAAGGAAAAAAAACTTAAGGATTAGACGGCAGGGAAACCCTAAATAGATTTTGTTAAATGTATAAGTTACATTGCCGTTTCATGCAAAGCTGTATAACTGTCCACTTTATCCACATGTCCAATAATTCATATTTAATTTTGCATCATGCATCTACATGGGCGGTCCTAGAGAGGGGCCAACAGTGCCCCTGTAGATTATTTCTGGCCCCTGTTATGGCCCCTGTACTGAAGACATAATACTCAAAGAAATTCTAATGATGATATGCGCTGGAACAGACATCGTTACTGATAGGTTCTTTGGATTTATTTCATTTTTTTTTTTTTTTACAAATTCTGTTTTACTACTTATTCAAAAACAATAGGGTGATAGCTTCAGTGGTATTGAGATAGGATCCCAGTTTTCGTCTGCTAAATGCTTTTTTTAAAAGAAATGAAAAATACTCCAATTTTTGCAGCTGAATTTATCAGTTTTTCTTGAGTTCTAATTCAGATTTTATAGAAAACGGTAATTTTAACTCAAAGGGGAACACCGTTTTTTTTACATTGGGCCCTTGATTTTACATTATTAAATCATTTTCTACTCACCCATATTAGTTTTGTGTCATTTAGAGCTGTTCTGGAGAAATTCGGTTTTGTAATCCAAGTAACGTCTTCTTATGGGCACGGGTTAAAGGCACAAACTAAACTGTTCATAATTTGTTCATTATGGTACGCCAGCATTCGTAACATGTAGGCGAATCACTGTCCCCCAGACATCCGCGGTTATATTTTTTATATTTATATATTTTTAAAACAAAGCGGAGTGTGTATGAAGTGTGTATCCGCGCGCGCCAGCTAGCATTCATTCATCCTGCCCCCTAAACTGCTGCTAGTTTTACTCGCATGCCTGAAAGATGTCTAGTGCTACTACCACAGATGATCTCGCTCTCCAAATGGAATGAACGATTCAGATTAGCTAGCCGAATGATAATAAGGGGCAGAGCGTAGTCGCCTGTGGCACGGGCTGCCTGTCACAACTCCAGTCCGGCACACGGATGATGTCATACACACTCCACTTTGTTTTAAAAAAAATATAAATATAAAAAATATAACCACGGATGTCTGGGGGACAGTGATTCTCCTACATGTTATGAATCCTGGCGTACCATAAATGATAAATTATGAACAATTTAGTTTGTGCCTTTAAGTCGTTGACCATAGGAAGACGTTACTTTGATATAACCTAATGGAATATCTTCAGAGCAGCTCCAAATAACACAAAACTAATATGGGTGAGTAGAACATGATGTAATAACGTAAAATCAAGGGCCCAATGTTAAAAAAAAAAAAAATGGCCTTCCCCTTAAAATTAAATAAAAAATACTTAAAATTCCTACATTTTGAATGTAGATGTAGAATCTTAGTTAAACCTTATTAAATAGAAATTTCACTTCATGCAGCTATATTAATATATTTAAATCCCTTGCCCTGTTTTTTTTTTATTTCATGATTCTTTGGCCCCCTGGCACATTTGGTCTAGAACCGCCACTGTGCATCTAGTAAAAACATGTCCAGTTATTCCCACATACAAGGCTGAACGCTCCATGTGTTCATTCTGTTGATCTGCTCCCCTCCTGTGATAAACACTTGTAGGTGCACCCTGAGCTGCGCATGCGCAAAGATTCGCAGACCTCATCGCAGGTTGGAGGATCAGCATCATCCTCCATCCAAACACGCACAGAGGAAGGGATACCTTAGGTCTGTTTTATTTATCTCTGCCCTCCTCTGGCTGCTGCCGCTGCTGCTGTAGCCGCGGTGTCAGACATCAACACGGAGGGAGCAGAAGCCATAAGATGAAGAAACGCTATGTGGACGCGAACAGGCTCCGGAAAACGAGACGACTGAAAATCACGGAGAAGCTGTCTGAGAGGTAGCCGAGCGGCTGCTGCTTTTGTTGTGGCGCTCAGTCTCCCGTCTTTGTGTGATTTTTTTTTTTTCGGCCGTCGTCATCCTGTCCGCTCACCTGGTCTGCCGCTGATCTTGTTTTTCCATCCGCTGGTCGCATCTTTTCTTTCTAAAAAAAGCAGCGAGAAGCTGATTTACCTCCAGCCTCTGCAGCTGAATAAAAAAAACCCCAACAAAAACAAGGAAAATATTGTTATTCCAGCCTAGACTGTTTGCAGACAGGCGGAAAGCAGCAGAGTTTATGTCGGCCTGCTGTTCTCCTTACTGTTTCCACACCATATCTGATTTATCTATTTATTTAATGGTCAAGAATAACATCTTTACCATATTGCTTCCATTGATCATTTTTGTATCTATTGCTGTATTTGGCTGAAGTTTGATATTTGCTTCATATACTTTTAT